TCGCCACATTAAACAAATATTCCCCCCCCCCTACAGAATCCTTATTTACGCCCCTGTCCCCAACCCCCCAAGAATGCATATTTGTCTCTGAATCAGCTGATTTCGCCGGAGTCAACCCCCCTCCCTAGTCGGCGTCCCCGGCGTCTGCGTGTAGCCATTAAAAATTATTGAAAAAATAGAGATTGGGACCTTTGAATATAATTGAATATTCAAAAATTTATGTCGTAACTTTTTCCAACTTTTAACTTTTGCAGTTGAAAAAAATTGTGTTTGCAAAATGATGCTTTCAACAAAATAGAATAAATTTACCTCTTATGTTTTCTTTTATGATGGTGGCTGGATGGTATCATCGTTTCAAGTATTGTTAATAAGAATATCTATTTTGTACGAAAAAGATCAAAAGTGAGAAAAGTATCGTTTAATATAAGTAGTTATCTTATAGGCAGGCTTGTAACCCCCCCCCTTCCTTCCTTTCAAATCGTATATAATGTATAACAAATGAAAAAAACTTTTGCAGCTTGTACAGTTTATTCAGTAGGTATAAAAGGCCTTTTTTCGCAAAAAAATCATATCTACGTTAAAATAAATTAGTAAAATGCTTGAGATAAAAAATAAAAGTTTTATATCAAACAACAAATACAAAAATAAAATCGAGGTTGCAGTGTGTATCATGAATTAAGTGTCTAGATTAGCCTGTGCCAAATAAAAATATGCACTAAAAGAGGGATATGAGTTTGGAACGGAGAATATATAGGAGGGTGTCTTGATTTCTCTGTCAGAAAGGATATTGAGATTGGTCTCTGTACGAAATGAAAAATATCAAAAAGAAATGTGTATGTGTATTAATTAATTCCTTAAAAGAGGGATATGAGATTGAAACTGAAAATATTTAAGTGTGTGTCTTGATTTTTCTGTCAGAAAGGATATTGAGATTGGTATTGAAAAACATCAAAAAGAATTGAGAATTTGTATCAATTAATTCTATATTTTATTCGCTTTTTGGTTAAAACACTAGTTAATTTACATGAAAATGTGCTTTTCATATCCTTTTAGACTAATGTTTCTTGTAATATATTTGATTATTTTGCAAAAAAGGTATTTATACAAAAACCAATTTATTATCCTGTCCATCCCTCTCCCTTTTTAAAATTCCTAGTTATGGCCTGCAAGTCTTTTTGTGAGATTAAGACTATACAATGGAAAAGAGAAGTAGATTCTTGGGAAAATATAATATTTTAAACTATTTGATCTAACCGTGTTAAAAGGTTGACATATCTGAGGTCTACCACATTGGGTTGAAAAGATATAGGAATTAGAAAATTAGAATTTGTGGCAAAAACTCTCTATTCAGACTTTATAAAAAAGATATACTAATTCTGGTCATGAGGTTTAAAAAAGAAAACAATCTTAAGAACAATGTGAAATTATGGTCATTGCTAGAACATTGTTCAGACTTTAAAGTTAGTGTAGAGAGAACATACATATTTATAACCTAGACAGGGAGAACGCATGCAGGGAGTTCACTAATAATAAAAAAAATGAAAAAATAAGAAATTGTTTTTGTAACATTTCAAATATTTCTTTCAGACTGTCTTAAATTCGTTTATGTTCTCAATATTTTTTTGGGAAAAAATGTATATCAAATCTTTATTATAATTTTATTAAATTCGTATACAATAGTAAAAGTACACATATATACATTATGTAAAAAGTAACAAAATATTTATTTTTATTCAACCAAATTTTTTAATGTATATAAATAGAAACAATTTTGGAATTTGATTGAGATTGTGCTTTATCGTGTTAGGCTGTCAAAACTTAAAAATGCAATTTACACTGTTAATTGGTTGTCTCACTCGAGCAACATACCTTTCATATTGTTTGAACACATTGGCAAAAAATAAAGTACTTTTACTGATGACATGAAATTAAACATTCTTGAGTTTAGTTATAATCACAATTCGTAGTCTTTGATCAAAAGATGCTGTTGCAACCAGTCCTAAAAAAGAAACAAAATATTTTTTTTTTATTTCTGCGTATTATCAATTTTTCAACTATTTACGCTTTGTACCAAATTTATTTTTGCGCAATTCTGCGTTAACCCGAAGTAAAGGAATTGAGTTTTTGCCACAAACTCAAATTTTCTAATTCCTCGAACTTATCAACCCGTTTTCCTAGATCTTTCATATTTCAAACTATTGATTCTGGTAGATCAAATAGTCTAAGTTTACACCATCAGGTTGCAAAGATATAGGGGTTAGAAACTGTAAGTTTGTTGCAAAAACTCAATTCCTTTGCGAGAAATCTAGGTTAGAGGATTTTGCAATAACGTTTCTTTGTTATTGAATAAAAGTGTTCAACCAAATTTGAAAATTAACTAAAAAAACAATAATTTTAAAACTTAATGAAATAGTAAACATATTTTTAATCAGCATTTTACCTTTCTTATCCGGACACCAATCCAGAGCACAGACTGGTTGTTCAGCTAAAGCCTGAGTTTGGAGTAATTCAATTTCATCCGTCCCCTCTCTCCATATACTTAGTAATCCTCCTCCAGATCCTATACATCGTATACATATATTAAAAACAAGATATTTCATCCGTCCCTTCTCTACATATACTAAGTAATCCTCATCCAGATCCTATACATCGTATACGTATATTAAAAACAAGATATTTAATCAATCCCTTCTCTCCATATACTTAGTAATCCTCATCCAGATCCTATACATCGTATACATATATTAAAAACAAGATATTTCATCCATCCCTTCTCTCCATATACTTAGTAATCCTCCTCCAGATCCTATACATCGTATACTTATATTAAAAACAAGATATTTCATCAGTCCCTTCTCTCCATATACTAAGTAAACCTCCACCAGATCCTATACATCGTATACATATATTAAAAACAAGATATTTCATCCGTCCCTTCTCTCCATATACTTAGTAATCCTCCTCCAGATCCTATACATCGTATACATATATTAAAAACAAGATATTTCATCCGTCCCTTCTCTCCATATACTTAGTAATCCTCCTCCAGATTCTATACATCGTATACATATATTAAAAACAAGATATTTCATCCGTCCCTTCTCTACATATACTTAGTAATCCAGATCCTATACATCGTATACATATATTAAAAACAAGATATTTCATCCGTCCCTTCTCTCCATATACTTAGTAATCCTCCTCCAAATCCTATACATCGTTTACATATATTAAAAAACTAGATTTGCACTTCCGCTTCACAACTGTTTCCGGAGCAAAAGAGGAAATTGTCAGATTTAAAGGGACAGACCAGTTATGTAAGGGAGTTTAACTGAGTATGCAATTTTGTGGACAACTTCTTTGGGATTCATTTGAGACATATACAACTTTTTTTTAAAGATTAGTAAATCCAGAGTTTGAGCGCAAAGTCGACTTTCAAAATCGTACTTTTGGGTGGATACGTTTTCAGATTTTTTTTTTTTTTAATTATTGAATAACGACGGCATAAAATGTAAATAAAATTAACTTTTATCATCGAAAATAAGTAATCTTATTCAGTTATTAGTTTCTATAATCTCTCTTTAATCACAAAGATTTTTAGCAGATTTTCTGGAATTTTTATCAAAAAGGCGAAATTTTAAGAATTTGAAGAAATCTGTGAAAGTTCCTAGAAAAAGTAAATAATTAGTTCTACCATCGATTTATTGACAAATTTCTTTTGAGAAATATGTTCCTAAACATCTAATTAGTTTACTATAGAATTTTTACAATATTTTTTGTCGTCGTTATTTAATAATTAAAAAAAAAACAGATTCTGAAAACATACTCACCCAATTAATTAATGATTTTGAAGTTCGACTATGCGCTCAAACTCAGTAATCATACATCGGGGAAACCTTTGTGAAGAAACAATCTCAAGAACTGACGAGGGTCAACCCAGACCGAAATATATTTTCAATAAATGTGGAACTAACATCTACTTTTTTACTCTATACAAAGGTTTGGTCCATCACCATCACTGAATTTTAAATCTAAAGAATTTGACCACATACACTGCATACTCAGTTTTACTACCTTACATAGCCGGTCTATCCCTTTAAGGGACTGTGTGCCTAATTCCAAGTGACTCTCTTTAATGGGAAGGTCAAATGAAAGTATAGCCGGTCTGTCCCTTTAAGGTGGTTACTTCCACAGTATTGATCTGGTAAAGGTTTACAGGGTGCCGTTGTAGATCGGGGATATATCCCTCTTTTTTAAATAAGGTTTATTTTTCTTTTTCATTCTCTTTCTTTTCATTCTTAGGTCCTTTTACTTTAATTCCTTTCTTAAATTCCGTTTTTTTTTGTTATCTTTCTGTGTTATCATATCTTGATAGTTTTTTTTTCTTATTTTCTGTTTAAAAATTTATTTGTTCTTTTTTTCCTATCATTTTTTCTGAACATTATTTTGGATTTTTGTTTTATGTATTACACACAACATAAGCTCCAGTTTATTTTAAGTACCAGGTCGACTTTAAAGCAACAAAAGCATGCGGTACAGTGCACATTGCAGAGTTTATTTTGGCATTGTACCTGTCAGAAGAATATCCCTGTTGTCTGGACAATGTTTTCCGACCCACACTGTACTTGTTCCTCCTGTAACATTAAAAATGCTGGAAAAATGTTTCTAGAGGTCGGAATTTTTGAATGGATATTGTTAATCTTGAATGTTTAATCTCGATATTCAAATTTGAGGGTTAACGCTTGATTACTCATTCACAATAATTCGTAGATCTTTATAAGATGAAGATCAATGCTTGATCTTTATAAGATTAAGATTAATTCACAACACATGAAGGTTCCCACTTCAGTTCTAAATCACCCTTTTCATTTTTAAAAACACAAAGGAACTAATAACACTTGTCTCAAATTCTAATATGTTAAATATGAATTTGTTCAACCAATTTAACAACAGTTGACAAAATCGGGTTGAAAAGATCGGGAAAATGGAGTTTAAACTTTAAAGTGCTCAGTTTTTTAGAAAACGCACAGCGATGGTGTATTGTTCGACTTACGCAAATCCGCTATACTCTACTTCTAACCTACGCCAAATCCGATATACTACACATCCGATCTAGTAGAACATGGTTTTACAGCTGCTATATGGACTTGTGGCCGCAGTGCCCGGCTCCCTAGCCTGTCCTAGCCTCAAATAATACAAAAATAACCAGCTGTCGTAGGTCCAATATTCCAGTTGGTCGGAAAGTACGTTAGTAGGTCAGAAGTTCAGTTGGGTGGATTTTGCGTATAGACGATGTAACATTAACCGCACGTCATTGATCATTAAACCAGAAAAAAAGTTTGCTAACGTTAAAGAAAATATAATGCTGTTCTTTTTACGTTTTAAATGTACTTTTTATTCTATTTTGTTTTAATTATTAAGCTATTTAATTCTATTCGAAGATATACATTTCTTTTTCAATGAAGGTTTTATTGTACAGTGTGTATCAAAAGTGTATATTCCAGGAATAATTATTAGCTTACAAAATATTTAGTATTTTTTACCTTCCACCTTTTTCTTTGATTCCTTCCACTGATTTCTGCAATCCCAGACATGAACCCAACCCTGTCAAAAATAGAATAAAGGGATTGTGCGTTTGCCACAAATTCCAGTTTTATAGTTCCTATATCTTTGCAACCCAATCACTCTAGTATTATGCCAAGTCCATTAGCGCCTGATGCAATCAGGGTTCAGCCATGTGTTTGGTGTCTATTCTGAACCAATAGAAATTGCTTGGCGGTAACATCTTTTTTCTTTCTCATTATCCAATTAGAGATAAATCCTTATATCGGCGCTATAACAGTAAATGGAAATATTTACTTCTACTGAAACTATGGTGCAATGTTGTAGACCTTTGATATTTCAAACTATGAGGTATGTTAGATCAAATAGTCTAAGTTAAAAATATCAAAGGTTTACATCATAAGGTTGCAAAGATATCAGGATAAGAAAATTTTAATTTGTTGCAAAAATTTGACATTTTACAAAGATCAGAGAGATTCACAAAACAATAATTTGCAATTGAAAATAATTTGTGTGCCAAACATGTGTTATAGGAGGTCGTTTTCACAGAAACTGGAAAGAAATCATAATTCCTAGCTAAGAACTTCAATAGTCTCACAAAAGAAAACACCTACTGCCTTTGTACTGTACAAATTTGTTAGCATATAGCAAATTCCGATTTTACAAGAATATTTGAATACAAAACTTAACAATTTTTATCTTGAAGGATTCGATAATCACTGAAATGAAAAATATGTATATAATGAGTGATAATCAAGATAGCCTGTTTTGGCCTGTTTTTTTTCCTATTTTTGCCAAATTTTTCTTCTATTTTTTCGAAATATCTAAACAAATTTAAACTACACGATTGATAAGTGTGTGTATGTCTTTATTTATGAATAAATATTTAGTTGAAGGGCCCGGTGTTCCCTGTGGAATAAAAAAAATTGAAAAAAATAAATAGATAAAAAAATTACGAATCTTTTTCAGCCTATAACACCCCCCGGTCACCCATGAGTGCCCACAAACAAATTCAGCCCAATCGGTCCAGCCATTTGGCCATATATATATTCGAATGTGTTGTTTTATTATATAAATAGTATACCTCCAGAGTAACTGCTGTGAGCTTATTCATCTTTATATTCTGCCTATCCCACTCAATCCAGCATACACCATTATCTAAGTTAAATTAAGGGACTTAATTTTAAGTTGCCCTCCACGCGAAGAGGAAAATATCAATGGTTTCCAACAACAGGCTAAAAAGATATAAGGATTAGAAAAGGAATTGAGTATTTACCACAAACTGTTATTTTCTAATCCCAATATCTCTTTAATCCATTGATATAGACCTTAGATGCTTCAAACTATGGATTGTGTTAGATCAAATAATCTTAATTAGAAATACCAAAGGTTTACAGCATCATGTTAAAAGATATAAGGATTAGAAAATTTGAGTTTATGACAAAAACTCAGTTCCGTTATACTCTACACTAATTTCTATTATATCATACCTACAGATGTTTCCCAGATTAGTTTCATTTGACGTAAATCCCAAACCTTGATTTCTCCATTATCATATCTATAAAAAGCATCAAATAAAATCATTCATAGTTTATTTCATAGACAATTAATGACTATTAGAAATTATCATTGAATCCAATTTTTCTTCACATTTCTTTATAAAATCTGGTTTTCTGGTATGCAACAATTATCATTGTATCCTCTAATCTAAAAACTTAATTTTGAAGGTCTCTGTTAAAACAATATTTTTTACAAAATTATAAATAATGAATAACTGAATAGTTTTTAAAAAAATAATAAACCCTTGGGTAAGCCATTTAGTCCCTTGGGAGTCTAAATTTCCATTGGTTTTACTTTGATACTTTTAAAACCATTTTATTCGTTAGCAAGGTTCTAATCTTAAATAAAGTTTTTTTTCAGGTTTTCATTCATTTTTAACTCAAAAGAAATTTTTTTTTTTATTTTAGAACTACTTATCAAATTTTTTTTTTCATAAAGAATTCCTAAAAAAGTGTAATTTTGAATTATTTTAATATAATTATTTTTTCCTACCCAGCTGCAACCATTCTTTCCTGACCTATAGAGTTACCAAACCCAACCGCCCAACATTCTCTCTTACTCTCAGTAGGTTCCATACTACAATAATATTGAACAAACTTAATGATACTGTAGGTTCCATACTACAATAATAATGAATAAACTTAAAGGTACTGTAGGTCACATACTACAATAATATTGACCAAACTTAATGGTTCTGTAGGTTCCATACTACAATAATATTGAATAAACTTAAAGGTACTGTAGGTTAAATACTACAATAATATTGAACAAACTTAAAGGTACTGTAGGTTCCAATCTACAATAATATTGAACAAACTCAAAGGTACTGTAGGTTCCATACTACAATAATATTGAACAAACTTAAAGGTACTGTAGGTTCCATACTCCAATAATATTGAACAAACTTAAAGGTACTGTAGGTTCCATACTACAATAATATTGAATAAACTTAAAGGTACTGTAGGTTCCATACTACAATAATATTGAACAAACTTAAAGAGACTGTAGGTTCCATACTACAATAATATTGAATAATCTTAAAGGTACTGCAGGTTCCATACTACAATAATATTGACCAAACTTAAAGGTACTGTAGTTTCCATACTACAATAATATTGACAAAACTTAAGGGTACTATAGGTTCCATACCACAATAATATTGACCAAACTGTAGGTACTGTAGGTTAAATACTACAATAATAATGAATAATCTTAAAGGTACTGAAGGTTCCATACTACAAAAATATTGAATATTCTTAAAGGTACTGAAGGTTACATACTACAATTGTATTGACCAAACTTAAAGGTACTGTAGGTTACATACTACAATAATATTGACCAAACTTAAAGGTACTGTAGGTTCCATACTTCAGTAATATTAACCAAACTTAAAGAGACTGTAGGTTCCATACTACAATAATATTGACCAAACTTAAAGGTACTGTAGGTTCCATACTACAATAATAATGAATAATCTTAAAGGTACTGAAGGTTACATACTACAATAAAATTGACCGAACTTAAAGAGACTGTAGGTTCCATACTACAATAATATTGAATAATCTTAAAGGTTCTGAAGGTTCCACACTACAATAATATTGACCAAACTTAAAGGTACTGTAGGTTACATACTACAATAATATTGACCAAACTTAAAGGTACTGTAGGTTCCATACCACAATAATATTGACCAAACTTAAAGGTTCTGTAGGCTCCATACTACAATAATATTGACCAAACTTAAAGGTATTGTAGGTTCCATACAACAATAATATTGACCAAACTTAAAGGTACTGTAGGTTCCATACTACAATAATATTGAATAATCTTAATGGTACTGTAGGTTCCATACTACAATAATAATGAATAATCTTAAAGGTACTGAAGGTTACATACTACAATAAAATTGACCAAACTTAAAGAGACTGTAGGTTTCATACTACAATAATATTGAACAAACTCAAAGGTACTGTAGGTTTTATACTACAATAATATTGAATAAACTTAAAGGTACTGTAGGTTCCATACTACAATAATATTGACCAAACTTAAAGAGACTGTAGGTTCCATACCATAATAATATTGACCAAACTTAAAGGTTCTGTAGGCTCCATACTACAATAATATTGACCAAACTTAAAGGTACTGTAGGTTCCATACTACAATAATATTGGATAATCTTATAGGTACTGAAGGTTACATACTACAATAATATTGAACAAACTTAAAGGTACTGTAGGTTACATACTACAATAATATTGACAAAATTTAAACGTTGAGCATGCAATGTCAGTTGTCTAAGTTTTAAGATCTTCTTTCCATCCTTTACCCTTTAATTTAATATTTCGGATATAAAACTTTGCTACAGCAAGCAAGAAATGCCAATTTGTTTAAAAAGAAAGATTTTTTATGTCCGTAAGGTTGATTAAAGAATATATAAACAAAAACCCTCAGTAAAACCGAGTCTCTATAATTAAAATGTCGTAATGAATAAATCTCTATCGATATTATTCATCCCTAAAATTATGAGGACTCCGGCTTAAAAATCTGAATCTTTCTTCATACCCTGAATCTTCTCTCACAATAAACTAATGATCTTTCTTTTATGATTCAGTCTGTGGAAACTGTAACGCCTCCTGAACCGTCAAACCTCACCGCCGAGAAATCATGATGTCTCAAGAAGAGGAGATAACTACGCTACATCGATATCTCAAAATCCTTGCACAATATAAACGTGCACCATACCCTGCTATACCTTGATGATTTGAGAGAAATGAAGAGGTTAAGCACTAATCTCTATTCAATATCCTAGACAGTAGCGCAGAACCAATGTTCTACGTGAGTCTAGTTTTTTAAGCATAATGTGTTTTTGTTCCATTTGAAACTAAATGCTTCTCCAACAAGCTTTTTCACATTTAACACTTCTTGATTTTGTTTTCCATAATTACGTCGGCTAAGTAGCATCAAGACGACATAGTTTAACTAATGGAACGCCATACTTACGTCGAACTTTCAATGTTCTTCGTCAGTACAATCGTAGTTCCTTCCATATTGCATACATTGCCAGTACACCATTGTTACATAAAAACTTTAGAATGCTTGCTCAATCTGATTTTCCACATTAAATGCTCAAATTATATGCAGACGATTCTTAAAAAATCTTCGTCACCGACTAATTATATGCAATTTATTCTATGCACTTTCATTTTTGCACTCTTCAATTTGTATGTCTTGCAGGATCCAAGTATCCCTAAATCCAAATTTCTAATGAAAGGAAAAAACGATAAAATGTATCCGTATGATTTTTTATTATTTAATTTAAGAATATATGTACACAATAGTATCGTAAAATAGTTGTATTAAATACATGTGAACAATTTTGTACAATTAATATAATCTCGATACGGAGATAATAAATATCTAGATCTCAAAAAATAATATTGACCAAACTTAAAGATTCTGTAGGTTCCATACTACAATAATATTGAATAATCTTAAAGGTACTGAAGGTTCCATAATACAATAATTTTGACCAAACTTAAAGGTACTGTAGGTTACATACTACATTAATATTGAATAATCTTAAAGGTATGTAGGTTCCATACTACAATAATATTGAACAAACTCAAACGTACTGTAGGTTCCATACTAAAATAATATTGACCAAACTTAAAGGTACTGTAGGTTCCATACTCCAATAATATTGAAAAACTTAAAGGTACTGAAGGTTCCATACTACAATAGTATTGAACAAACTTAAAGGTACTGTAGGTTACATACTACAAAATTTTTGAATAATTAATAATTACAAGAAATTGCGTCAACAGACCCTTTAGGATAATTACAAGAATAAAGGGTCAGATGAAATGGCGTCAACAGCCCCTTTAGGATAATTATAAGAATAAAGGGTCAGATGAAATTGCGTCAACAGTCCCTTTAGGATAATTACAAAAATAAAGGGTCAGATGCAATTGCGTCAACAGTCCCTTTAGGATAATTACAAAAATAAAGGGTCAGATGCAATTGCGTCAACAGCCCCTTTAGGATAATTACAAGAATAAAGGGTCAGATGAAATTGCGTCAACAGTCCCTTTAGGATAATTACAAAAATAAAGGGTCAGATGAAATTGCGTCAACAGCCCCTTTAGGATAATTACAAGAATAAAGGTTCAAATGAAATTGCGTCATGTGTGCCTTAAGAGTAATTACAAAGAATAAAAGGAATTGATGCTTTGCCAAAAACTCCACTCTTTGCAGTCTCATGGTCTAATTAAACCTTTGATATTTAAAAATTTGATTATTAAATTTAACAGAGTTCATAGTTTGAAATATCTAAGGTCTTTGACATTGTAGAGATTAGAACATCACAGTTTGTAGCAAAGACTTAATTGCTTAATCAAAATTCATGATTTTTTTAGAGTCACAAAAAAGTAACTTGCCTTACAACAGGTTTATTTGGTATTCTGGTATCCCACACTTTCACACAACCCTCTCTACCTAGAAATATCATTTTTTAACCTGGAATGATTTTTTTTATTAATCATGTATTTAAAATTAAGATTATAAATTGAAATTAAGCTTTATAACATTAGTTTTAATTTGCTATGAAAATTATCTATTATACAGTGAATCCCAGGTATATGAATACATAGCAAGAGTTTTTATAATGCCGTATCACATATTTAAGATCAAATGCCACGGAAAATGAGTTTAAATTGATATATTAATATTAAACTCATTTTCCGCGGCATTTGAACTTATATATGAAATACGACATTGTAAAAATTCTTGCTATGTATTCATATACCTGGGATTCACTGTAGTGAAAGAACCAAAAATCCTATAATTTAAGCTATGGAAAAATGAAGTTATTGAATTATTATATCACAACCTGGGAAATGAGATTTTAAAAAAAAAATTAGATGATTTAAAGGGACTGTAGTTGACCCTCCATGCGAATATAGCAATGCCTGATTTACAACGGCAACCTTGATCGAATCAAAAATGTTTATTTCTGTGAATTTCTCCATTTTTTCTAATACGTAAGAAACAACAAAGAAACAACAAATAAAATAGATGGTTTAATTAAACAAAAATATGGATATCTAACTTGTTCTTGATCAGACTAAGCCTTTAAGAGTACCGTTAATAATCAGGCATTTCCAACTTAGCATGGTCGGAGTAGTTTCTTTTAGAATTTAATACAGACACCTCCACTTAAAATTTCATACGCTCCTGAACCCTTTCCTCCTGCTCCATCTATACAGTTAACAACCTTAAATATGAATATGATAAAAAAAATAAATAGAAGGAAAATTTAAAGATTCGAATTTTTATATCCATAATCCCCTCCCCCCTCTTTTTTACCTCATGCCCTC